GTTTGAATTACATAATATAATATAATATTAATAACGCGCGACTAATACCTTACTACATCTTCTTCATCTTGTGGTTTTCCGGTCGGCGGTCATTGCGACCGTACCGCCAAACAAATCGGTCTCGGTTTCTTCCCTGTATCCACCGCCGCATGTTCGGTTCCACTTTACTATACGTCATATTTTAACGCAATACTCTCGGCGCAGTCTCGATGTTCCTATACGTACGTATAGCGGGTTACTTACCGATGCCGGGGGTTTCAACGAATACGAAATGTGAAATTCAATATGTATTACAGGCATGAAAATTATCCGAATGAAAAACTGTAAAGTATAGTATTGTTATACTCGTAGGCGCCATGTTCACGGGCGCCCGGCACCTCGAGTCCCTGTCGGAATATTTGTATACCTGGCAAACCACTCGTCCGGTGTTAAACCGGACGACGATTAGAATATGATGGACACGTGGGCGCCCGCGAGAAATTTATCAGGGAGGAGCGTAATAGAATCAAACACCAATAAGTATCTACTTAAAATAAAATCATATTTGAAATTTTGAAGTCCAGGGGTTGGGCTGATGCTCCGTCTTGCCTCTACCGCTTCGGGCGCCCATGGATGCATATAATACAAATTAACTAAATATTCAATTTTTACACTTTCGACAAAATTCGATATAACTGATAAGAAAACTGCGCCGTATGATGCGCCTGTATACGGTATAATACCAATAGACATTTTCAGAAAATTATCCGAGTGCGGGACCGGCAATAGGTAGTGACTGATATTTACGAGTATGTCTATAAACGTTATTGTTATCCGGCGTTAACGAAAACCGATGGCGAGATGCGATTGAAAATAATTTGCCGACTTCCATACGTGTTTCTTTGTCCATTATTTTCTCCGTTGATGAGAATAATTTAGAGGTAAAGGAAAATACTATACAGGCTTATCGACATAACATCGTAAGACACTCATTATCTCGGAAATTATTAATTTTTTTTACAACTTTTCAGAAATATGTAGTTTAGCGAAATGTTACATTACTCTTTTTTTTTACCGAATTAAGGGGACCAACGCCTATTTTTGATTTTAAAACGGCGACCTATAATACACATTCCATAAATAAACGGAGGATTAGTTTAAATCGTTATTGGTGTTGACATTTTTAATTTCCGTCAGCCCGTTGACGAGATATTCCAATTTTTTTGTTTCGGTGGTGGGAGAAGGCGACAGAGCGGTGTAACACTGTTAAAACGCCGCGCGCGCGTAAATCAAAAGTAGCTCGCGGTTTCACCTCGTAAAATAAGAGCGACAGAATAATAACCGAAATTTAATATTTTAAAGGCACTTATTTCTCAAAAAGTTTAAAAAACAAAGTCAAAAAAAGTCAATACTCTCCGAGATAGAGATAGTGTTTTACGTATTGCTGTGTGATATTATTATGACAATACGGGAATCTCGACGCGTTTTTTCGGGGACACCGGTACCGAAAATTTAACGCTCCATTCCACTGCCGGTTGCCTATCCTTGCCTCTAGAAACATTCATTACTCGCGGTAACGCTTAATCACAGAGTAATACAGACAGACCGTTCCCTATATCGTTCTGTACAACGAGTTAATGCGCATAAGTTTTCTATTTTACGGTATCATCGCTTTTGTGGGAAAAAAAATATTGTAAAATATTTGGTACGATGTGTTGTCTCTATACTTTAACGTGTCACATAGAAATTATGATTTTATCACTGATAAAACAATAACGTATTTCAATGTAGACGTAACTAATGTATCAGGTATTTCACGAACATTTATTTTTTTTTTTTTTAAAAAAAAAGTATGTACCTTGTAAAAATATAAACCTTTTGCACTCCGATATACAGACGGAACGGCCTCTCTACATTACTCTGCGGGCTTAATAAGGGCCCAGACAGATAACCGTCGTCATTTTGGACCGCTGTGTCGCCGACAGATTTCCCCATTACGGGGCTTCCCGTATATTCTCGTCCATTGTATTTGGTATACTGGTAATCGCGCGCAATAAAATAGCAAAACGAATAGAAAACATTTGTTTCGCCGAAGTCAAAACTAAATAATTATCGTCGATTAGTCGAATCGGTATCAAGTCTGAATTTCCAAATTCGGAGAGGGGTGGTGGGGGGGGTGTCCTCCCCGTATATCCCTACCACCGCGTCTCCGTCCCGGCATTTCCATCGTATTGTTCGTACGGATGCAGGTATTGCAATTTCAAATATTGAACTTTGTATTAGATTTGAAACGTTTTATACCGTAGACATTATTTTTTTCCATTTATTTTTCAATATCGAACGGTAAAACTCGAATAATAATAATAATATCTCGTGTGGAGGAGTATGTGTAACACCGAGTGTTATTATGGTATACACAGTGTACATTTATATACGTATAGCGTACACCGTTCGACGCCTATGGTATAAAAATAAAATAATCCAAACGCCCGCGCGTGTGTGTGTGTGTGTGTTAGTGTGTACAATGTGTATATAAAATACGCGATATTATCTTATAAACATGATGACAGACAATATTGTCAAGTGCCTATCTAAATTATGTACACAAGCGTTATTACTCTCGTGCGCTCGGGATCGAAATTTAGTACTTGTGTATTTTTTTTTTTTTTTTTTTTTCATTGAAAACCGTTACGATACAATGGCCGTTTTGTCTGTACACATAAGTGCAATAGGCGATTCTCGTCACGCCGAACCCGACGATAATTGTTATAGAAACGATCAATCGCCCCGTCGTCGGGCCGTTAATCCGGACCGAGAAACAGCGTTTTGCGTGCGTGCGTGTGTCCGACGCATTCAGCCTCCGTGCGATCCGAATCGATTGTTATACGCCGTCCTGAGAATCCGAAAGTCCAAACACACGGTTACAGACGGACATCGCCACAAACTGGAGAGACGGACAGTTAAGTGTCAATACTGCGCGTTAAAATGCCGATCTTACGGTAGGAAAATCTCGAACTTTTCTTTATCACGATTACGCGAACGAATAAACGATTTAACGGGTAGGCTGCGGAACTGGGCTCAGCGGTAGTTACGTTTGGGTATGACATTTTAAGTCGATTACAATAATTTTGGAAAAAAAAAAAAGCGCCGGACATACATCGTGGGTAAGCCACTGCGATTGTGACATTTAGAGTTTATAATTACGCCGTGAACGACGACGAATTGCCGTTGTCGATTGAAAAGCGATTCCAAGCGAAGCTTGCAGTTAACAGCAGTTAAGGTATCTGTTGCAGCGAGCGAATGTTCATGCCCGAGAAATCAACAAAGATAAAAGCTTTTATTAGAACAGAGATTTTATTATAAAATAGACTGTACAATACACGATAATGTTTCGACGAGCGATATTTTACGGGTGGGAGGGAGGGAGGGAGGGGGCGTGGGTTTCTTATTAAATTTAATATTCCGTGGCCCCAGCAGACGGGTTAACCGTATCTTAATATTATTACTCCCGTAACAGATCGGATGACCCGCCGGCGGATTTGTACGGTTTCGTTCGGCGCCCATAACCGCGGCACGAAGACCGCAAAAACGATACCGGGCGCGTTCGTTACGACCCAACCGTATGCGATAATAGCCGACGGTCCCCCGGGCCCGCGGGGATCGTGCACATATTATTATAATATCGTAATAAAATTTAATAATATAACACCGGTAGCGCCGGCAGCTTCTGCGCGGCAACAGTGGCGCCCAACCGTATTTCTTTGGCGTAGCGGAACTCGACGATCAAAACCTCCGCCCGCCGCGAAAACTTTTATAAGCCCATGGACTCTCCGACCCCTACGACCGGCCACTGCCGCCTCGAATGTCCGTGCCCGTTGTGCCCGACCATCCCCGAATCCCTGCATAATTACCGCGGGAACGAAAAATATATGACGCGTAGCGGCCGCTACACTCGGGGTGCGGTTTGGGCGCCACTGCGCGGCCAACCGTATATCCATCCGGTCCCGAAATCCGGTACCGCGCGAGTAATGCGCCGCACGTATTATTATTACCGTTGTTATCATTTTGCGCGGGAAAAATTTGCTTATTGAAACCATTCATAATGACGTGCACTCGTACAATTTAATGTACATCTCTCCGTTTAACTCGTTTCCACCGTTGTCGCGCGGTAATTTACCCTTCGAAGAAAAGGGTTTACGTCGCCTTGTCCGCGACAACCGAATCGACACAATACCCATCCCTACAGTATAAAGCGCTTGGCGAAAAATCGCAATACGGCGGCGCCGGGGTCACGACGAGTAAACCAGCAGTTCCCGTGTCGGCCGTTCTCTGCGGGTTTAACGCAAAAAAAAAAAACACGGTCTGGAACCGCTGGTTTAATCTATGTACAGTACCATAGATTATATAGAATCTATGTTAATTTTTATACTGGTTCGTTTCCTATGTAGGATTACAATATTATAAAATGATCACGTTACGTACGTTCATTTACGACCAAACCGAACACCTGTAGCCGTACAAACCGAAGTTATAAAATTTAAATACACGATATACTACTACAACAATAATACAATAGGATGCCATCAGATTTTTAGAAAACACTTTAGGGTGCCGCGAGTCAAAAAGGGTTTGCGATCCTCTGAAGAGTTTCGCCGGTGTAACGGCGCGATAAAATTTTACTGCGCGTATAGGTGCATATTGCAGTGGCGCACACGGATGGTGGGAAGGAGGTAAGGGGTCGAAACCCCTCCCGAAATGTCGCTCTTAACGACGTTTTTTTTTTTAATCGAGTTTAATACAATCAGCAACATATAACAATATCTTGTATAACAGAACGAAATAGAATTTAATTTCATCGAAAAACATTTATTCAGTAATAATAGCGATAATACTGTACTTATATATGCTATCCCTTCCCCGGGAGATTATTACAAACGAAACGTTAATATTGTTATTGCGCGCCCCCGAATCACGTTTCGCGCGGAATTGACAAAAGTCTGTCGGGTTTCAGTGCGACGGACATGGACGGCGACGATTACGTGCTGACGCCGTTGACCGCCGAGGACGACGACGGAGCGCCGCCGGAGCCCGGGCGCAATGACGGCGACGACGCCGTAGTGGCGGCCGAGGACTACGTACAATCGCTGGTCACCATCGAATCCAATTGGGCCAACGGTAAGATTTCCCGCGTTGTTTTTACCGTGTGATGGTTTTTCGTGTTATTTTTTATAGCGCGTGTCTGTATAATATGCTTTTTTTTTTTATAACACGAGCACACACTCGGTGCATAAGCGCGGCAGATCGCCGCCGCGTGTTATCGCACTGCGACGATCGAGGATTATGAACAATATCGGACGTGTACGAGTTACCGCCCCCCCCCCCCCCCNCCCCCCCCCAATCATTCCACCGAACGCGTACGAAAAGCACGCACCGTCGCAGCTAACGGACATAGTGTGTACTGCAATATAACGTTACCGGCAGTTAAACTTTGATAACGCGGTGGTCTAAGAACGGATCGGTTGTTACGGAAAAATGCGCTCTCGATTTAAGTCGGTCGCCCGTACACACGACGTCCGTTACGGCGGCCAAAACGCGGCCAGGATTTTTGAACGAAAGTCGGAGTCTCGGTTAACGTGATAACGTCTCCGTACTATCCCCTGACGGGGACGGTCGGACTTGTCGACGATTTTCAAGAAACTCCCGTTGAAAATTCCACCAGTACGCGGGCGCGCTTGAAAAATGCGACGTTTCAGAACTGTTAGAACGAAAATAGACTTTTACTGAAAATGCGAAGTAGGCATTTTAATGTTTAGCCATAACTCAAATGGGTACATACCGTAAGATTCTGCGTGTTGTTCTGTATTGTTTTACATATAGTCGTTTTATGTTTAAGTTCGAAATTCGGTTGGTTTTTTTTATCGATTTGAAAAATCGATAAAAAAAATTGTCTTGACTCCGTCGACACTAGATTAAAGACACGCGTCTCGAGTTGTGACCTCTTCTTACACGGCCCGTTTGAAAAGTGACATGCCCTAAACCGCGCGTTGAAACATGACAATAATACACGAAGTATGTGTCTTTTACACAAAAAACAGACATTTTTCCTTTTTTTTTTTTTCATCGCTGTAAATAACTGAGATTTCGCAATTTATCGACTTTCACGCGCAACCGCGAATTAACGGGCGCGTCGGAACAATAACAAATTCAAAACGATCGTCAAACAAAATCAAACAGATTATTTTCTACACGTTGCGGTCTGTTTAAGTCCTCGAAAACGGTCCGCGGCGCCAGCGGATATACAATTCCCCTCTTCCCCTGTCGCTCGAAATAACACGAACTGTATTTTCCGTTCGGGTTTCAAACGAAATCGCGTCGTCAAGACCGGGTGACGTGACACCGTTCCCCCGGGCGGGTCTTTTATTTTCGCGATATACGGCTTAAAAGGGGCGAAATTCCGAACCGACGACGGAGAATCTACACGCAATAATAATGATTTTATGTTCGTCTCTAAATACGCGTGTAAGCGCCTTTTCATCGAAAATTCTTGTCGCGGTTCAGCCCCCGCGAATAAATCGGCTACACGTACAGAGTCCGATCCAGACGCGCGGATTTTCTTTGCACGCGCGAACGAAAGACGATCTTTTACTTCCTTGGACGCGTTAAGGGTTAGGCATTTATACGGTGGGACTTCCTACCGTTTTTTTCCGATATGTTATAACAACACTTTGTCCGTGTTTGATTCAAGCGGAACGAGAAATGTATTGGTTTTACAACGGTATTTATTTTTTTTTTTCTGTGGACAACTTTTCTACCAGAAATTTCGCTCCGATTTTCAATGATAGCATTTTTTTTTTTGAAAGGAAACCGCACAGGGAGGTACTTGAAGGTGGTAATTTTTTGATTTTCCTAGGAGTTTTCTCGACAAATGGGAAAAACACAGGGAAAATAGGTACAATATTAAAGAAAATTAATGTAATGCATAGCATGTGTAATTATTTTACCGTCGTATGACATAGATTTAGTCGACAAAGCAACACTATTAACCGCAAACTCCGTTCGGAATCGCTTTTTCGTTAGCAACGGTTTATCGTTGCTTACAGATAGAATTACCTTTAACAGTGGCACCATCCGTTCCCATTATCGTAGGACAGCTTTATTTTTCTTTTCATTTTCAATCGAATTTCGGTCGAAGAATGGGACGTACGTTTAGCGAAAAATAAAAACGCTATTATCGTCGTTCGATCGCCGAGGGAAAAACTGTTTTTCGACGTTTCCAAAACGGCCATTTTCTAATAACGCCGTTATAATCTGAAAATTTGAATTTGACATATGCATACATACGCCTTTCCGGTGAATGCGTATAGTTCCAGTAATATTGCAGTAATATAGCGGTTTTAAGCGGCCGGATAAGAGGCATGAACGAAATGCTATTCTGCAATAGGTATGCCTATAATACTATTATAATATCCGTTATACGAATCACAATCGGCAGCACTATAATACTGGAACACGGTGATAATTCTACCGTGAATAAAAAATAATGTAGGCACGTATACACTGCTTCTCGTGAAATTAAAATGGCTATTGCTCTGCAGAAACTATTCGAAGGGTGTCTTGCGTGACAACCGGCCGGTTCCATTTTTCGAAATCGTCCGTTCAATTATTTTTCAAGTGCATACAAGCACTTGATGCGAAATGTAATCAGAAAAGTAATAAAAAAATAAATAAATCTCTCGGCGATTGTGTTACGAAAAAAATAAAATAAAAAAATACTTAGACTTTTAAACGGTTTTGAAAAAAATACGGAGTTGTCTGATATGTGCGTATGATACATTAAAATGTTTAGAACAATAACGTTTAAAAAAGAGTGAAAACACTTCGATAACGCGCTCTTCTAATACGGAGCGGTTATATTTGAAATTTCGAAAAGCGAATGAAAAGTTGTAATTTTTTATTTTTTTTTTCTAACGATTAAGAGAGTGAAAATAATATCTTTCTATGAACAAATAGCGGCTTCGCGTAAAATTTTAATGAAATAATGTAAATATTAACGGCGTAATCAACGGGAAAAATGACACCCTGTTTATTGTAATGTCATACACCTGGCTCGACGAGACGACCGTGAGTACAATGTAATTGTATACCGCGCATTCGGTACCCTCTGCAGCTACCGCCATCCGAACAGTGTACGCACTACACGCCAAAGTGCAGAGTGAATTTTTCAAACCAAATATGCAGAAGCGAAAAGCTTAAAAGCGCGTCACCGCAAGGGGATTTTTTAAATTTTATTTTCGTCTGCCAGCGAGTCTTGTAATATGAATATTAGCGCTTTTTACGAGCAGATCCGATGACTATTCCTGCGCTGAGGCGCTCGACCGTTTCGCATACACGAAACGTTGTAGGCGTATTTTTTTATACACGACTGGACCGTACGCGTGTTCTGCACAGGACTGGCGAATCCGACCACGACCAGACCCGCGGCGAAATCGGTTTTTCACAGAACTCAGAGACGGTGTTAAAAAATAATGCAAACACGAAGCTATACGGTATAAACAATTACAAACTGATAAAATAGGTAAATATTGTATAATATTTGTACTCCGAACGTGTTTTTATAAACGGCAACACTGTATTATAAATAATTGATAAGGTACGTAAAAAGATACGTGTACAGAAATGTTTATATTTTGACGCTCTTGCCTTGTCTTTCTTCCTGTATATTAACTGTTACACATATTCAGATAACGTTCTTACCCCCGCCCAGTTATGGGGGAAGCGCGTCATTTGAAAACAATTTTTAAAAAAAGTCTACTAAAAATTTAATTTTAAGCAAAATGCGTTTCTGCTATGAAACATGAATAGCAGGTAACTTAAGAATAAATAAGATATGATCTTAGTAAAATAAAATGGTTAGGTTAGGTGTGAATTTCCAATTATGTGGTTGAATTCCGAACACGAATAAGATCTGAATTTTTGGTCGAGAAAGCCCGCAATCTTTTATTATTATTGTTATTTTTTTTTTTTTGTGAAAATGCGATGTAGAGCCTTACTAAATTCGGTGTATATTTTCATGTCCCAATGGAGCGTGATCACCGTCATTAAAAGAAATAAATAGGCCAAAATCGGAAACGAAAACGCGGGGTATTCAAGTGACCTATTTGATTTAAGCCTGTAAACATTTCAATGTCATATGATAATACAGGAAACCTAGTTTGACTTTTCATTTTTGATCTAGTGTCCAGATATGTATATTTTTGGAAACAGTGCGTAGTTATTCGCCGTGATCATCGCGCGCTTAGAAAAGGAGGATTTTATTTTATTTGACATTTGATATTTTTATCACTTTACCGTTATCATATGTGTAACACGCCGCACAGTCCAATTAATTGATAATTCGTATAGGAATATAATATTATTACAATAATATCTGTACGGTGTCTAGCCCGGCGTTATTACCCGTGTCACATTGATTTCGCCCATTTTTTTTGACCATCAAAGCGGATTCAAAAAATAAAAAAACATCAATAAAAAGAAACTAAATTTAACGCGTTGATCTTTATTGTATGCACCTCTACCAACTATTACGGTTAACCGTTGTTGTGCAGATACTTTTACTTGCCCGGGAAAACTAAATCAACTAATAACTACTGATGTTTTTCACCCGTGCCCGTCGCCGAGGTAGCTCATAAATCAACCAAACTAATTCGATTTCACTACCGAAAACCGTGTTTCGGCAACCCTCCAGTGGTTGGATTTCGGAAATCCGGCTTCGAGTCGCACGCGTCGGTAAAACAAAAAGAAAAACACCGCTAACACTAATCCTCTCAGAGCCGTTTTCCGATTTCAATGTACATATCGTTACGCATACAGTATACAAACTAAATTGCCCCACATAACATTATACCTTTCCAGCCATTCTCTCCCCCACAACAGTGGCCTACCCGGATCGTAAAACAATTATTATTCGAATACCGAGTTAAATAAACAACCCTTACGATTTTAGTTTGTTATTTTTCAATACGAATTATTTACAATTCAATTATTAAATCGAATTTTATATCTAATATCGATTTTGATTTTTTCATACTATTCCGTAACCCGTATTACATTTAGAATTAAATCGATGATTAAAAATCAAGACATTACTGCAGTGCACTTGTGTACCAACTCTAATGACGGTCCGTTTAAAACTTGGACACGAGTACTAATAAAATATGATTATAGTGTATCGTCATTAATATTGTCGTTTCAATTGGTCAGATAAATTCTTTGGAATCCTGACAGACGTTTCGAATGCAGTACCGTTCGACGAAAAATCTACACATTTTAAGGTACTGCGTTGAAGTACACCAGACGTTAGCCACTTATGAAATAGACTTTAATAAGTGGGTAACTTTTGAGTTAGGATCGGAGAAAAGTTGTGGTGTATCGTTTGTGTTGGCTTTCCGGCACGCGGCGTGTTTGTTTATAACTGTCTTCCAATCCGAACTGAAAAGTGGAATGTCGAGACACTCGTCAACGGCTCGACAGAAATCGAAAATGCCGTTACTGAAATGTATTTTGACTAATACTCGATCCATTTATGGACTTTGTAATATAGGCGTGCTATTTGAAAATCAAAAGTAGGCAGTGGTTTTGTCCCCGAAAATAAGTGCGACGAAAAATAACACGGATATAAAATTGTAGAGCTGCTCGTTTCTTAAATGTACTGGAAAACAAAGTACGTAGACAAATCATTATTATTCCGAGACGATGAGCGCGCCCGCATAGACGGATCACGCCCGGTGTAACGTTACACTGCTCCCAGTTTCCCGATAATACGATTGGTAATCTTTTCTGAACTTAAACGCGCGGGGGGACAGAGTCCGTAACGCGGTCTATCGGACATCCGCGCGCGTGTCGATACGGCCGTTGTACGCGGATCATAATCGATTTCACAATCGATTATTTCGTTGTGACCGTGTTATGTTTTCCAATGCTGTTTTGCCGCGTTTAAAAATGAAAACGGAATTTGTTGAACGAACCGTACTTAAAAACGCCGCCAGACCTTTGATACGGATTGCGTGACGCGTTACACTGTTCCCTTAACAACGATGCGAGACGCGTTTTGTTCGGATAACGCCGTACGAAATAACACTGGTGATGTACGCGTTTTGATTAGACGCGTTACGCGTAACTCGTTATAACGCGAACGCTGTTGTTGTGACCAATCATAAAATATTTCGTTGTTTCAAGTGCATTTCAAAATGCCTACGAATTTAACGCGGAAACGCACTAAAATGATCGTCCGCAGTGATGTCACATTTATAATACCCATGCGTTATAATGCCCATTAGTTCGGCGCGTTCTCTCGAATAACTATAATAAAATGATAGACGGTTCTCTTTTTTTTTTCCGTCGTCTCTTTTTTTTTTTCCACCGAATTCACGGCACAATGTCGTCGACCCTCCGCAGAGATCCGAGATTCCGACGACGGAATCATTTAATCTATTTTTGAAAACCCGCCGAGACACCGTTGTAATAACAATTATACGGCTTTAACACCGAATAGCTTTTGTCAACCGTCTCTCTGGAAAAAAAAAAAAAAAAAACACAATTTTCCTGTAAAAATATTAGAATTCTCAAAATTCGGGCGATCGCGAAAAAAGACACTATCTAAATAAACATAAATATTGTTATAGTTTTTTAGGGTTCCGTCCGTTCGTAAATTCTGTTACGGTCCGAAATTTTTCCACGGATTTCGATGACATTCTACAAAAAGGTGTAGTTTTTATTACATAAAACTGACGGATAAATATTTTATTTTTCGCGTGCCACATCTTGCGTGACTCCGAGGTAAATGTCTTCAAAGGCGCATCAAAGGTGACATATTATCAAATACATAATTTCGCCCGAGTATATGATGCGTAGTACTTTAAATTGAAATATTTACTGACATTTTTCACGTTTCACACCCTTTGATATAGGTACTTGTGTTGTTCTTACATACTTCTCCGTAACTGTTCACCTACAGCAGCAGTGCAGGTATACGCACGACCCGAAGCATATCCGGTTTTCATTCAATTTACATTCTTCGAGCCATACGATTCGTTGTCATTTCCTACCCGGCTGTGTGACACGCGAACACATTCAATAATTAATGTGATACGCTTTTACATATAAAAAAAAATTTTAAAAAAAAACTCGCTCCTTAATCATAATAATTATTGTCAATTTTTAAATTATCGGCACACCGAACGATAAATAAACGTCAGTTTTACGGGTCAAAACGTCAATAAAATATTATACACAGGGCGTGTCCGCGGGATCCGACAACTTTCTATGCAATTAAGTAATCGTCGAATCCCGCAAGACCCTGCGTATAAATATCGCGCGATAGTTGCGATAGAAACGAAAATAAAATACGCGTATACTAACGACTTAATCGTCTTAAATGATATTGCGTTAATAATAATATTATTATCATGCACTCCTTTGACAAACGCGCGGCGCAATATTTTCCGATGACAGTTCGTATATTAACGAAAGCGTATACACGCGAATGCGAATAACTGCAACAAGAGCTGCGCGGCTTACATGACTTATGAGTTATGCGTACAAAAAATGTATTACAAAAAAATAACAATAATAATAATAAAACGCGCTGCTACTCGATTGTAGGGGCAAAAACCCGTCAATCAAATTATTATATCCTATAAAAAAAAAAAATGCGGGGAAAAAAACCCATTCGCCTTTAATACGACAACTTACGGACGTCCGTGTCATAATAATATTATGACCATAATATATGGCCATCGTATACATACCGGGTGATTCATTTGTCGTTAGACACGCGTTATCTCGAAAAGTATCGAGTTTTAAAGAAAATTTAAGAAACAAGCGGCTCTACAATTTTGCATTTACGTAATTATTCGTAGCTCTAATTTTCGTGGGTGGAACGGACAACATCTACTTGCCACATTATTGAAACGCCGCGCGCCGTGCTGCCACACAGATGATGTTCCACTTCTCTCTCCCTATCCGATGTTCAAAGTGGAATATCTCGTCAGCGGATTGACTGAAACCAAAAATGTCGACACCGAAATCTATTTTTACTCCATCTGTTTAAGGCGTTTTCACTATTGGTTGCCATTTGAAAACTAAACGTAGGTAATCGTTTAGGTAAAACACGTTTGCGTGCGTTCGTTATCGATGATATACCTTTTTAAGCTAAATGATTGCGTACAACGTTACCGGGTTTTTGAGTACGAAATTTTAGGCGGTTGCCAATTTTCGTACTGGTATTCGTCGCACGGGTGAACTAGAAAAAAAAAACAAAAAAATGCATAGATACTTTTCGTTTTTCCATAAACGCAATATCAAATACATCTTAATGTGCTGGAAATTTCGTTATTTAAAATATATGTTCTGCCCTTCA